GACAAGCACACAAATTGAGTTTATTTATACTTTTTTGTTAACTATTCACCACGAAGGAATGATTACTGTCTATTATCCATCAATAAATGAAAATATATCTTGTACTTTCTGATTCACAAACAAACTTCAAGGATTTATTCTATGTGTCTTGTTTACAGGTCACCAGTAGGTTAAATAATACTAATAGTCACGTGTTTTGTTAACAGTACAATTGAAAAAAAAGTAGAAAATTAAATAATATAATTTTAAAGTTTATACACAGTTGATGATAAATCATTTAATAAGGTCGAATATACTATGTACTGATTAATTTTGAAGTAAATTCATGACAGCATTTTGTTTAAGAAGAAAAAATGATTACTCAATTATTATATTTTCCATCAAATCTTAAATATTTCATTCTATTCATTATTGTAGTTGTACACTTGTAAGAAATCTTGAGATGAATTCTAAAACGTTACTGCTGATTACTGATTTCAATTTGTTATTGGATTAAGCCACTCACTCACTAGAATACAATTCATTATAGACTTGTGAGGATTGTTGAGTATCATTGAAATCATGAATTGTTCAATGTTGGACTGTCATTAGAAATCTGGAAGCACTGGACGACCGTTTCGTCCTAGTACGAGGCTGGTCAACAGTGCTCACCCACCAACTCGCCCCTCATGGGCGCGAACGCCTAACCTTTAGATCACTAGGACGGCATCTAATGGTGTTAATGTGTAACTTTGATCGATCTAAGGTTTGCGTGCAATCTTACCTATTGTCTTCGCTAGGTAACTACTGCCTACACTCGACAGGGTTTAAGTCCACTACTCACGGCTTCTCATGAAACTAGTCACTAGTGATGAATCTTATACTAGTGTGGTGTGAGCTACTTATAAGTAGTATATGACGTGAGTGTCAACGTAATGTCTGGCAACAGAATATGGGGGAAGATCAAGAAAGGAAGAGTTAGGAAACAATGGAATTTGTATGAAACGCATGAATAGTGACAATGGATTGATGTTTTGCAACAGGAACAGTCCAGTTCGATATGATGGACTGATATTTTGCAAATTAACGATTTACGATATGGTTTTCCAATTTTACTGAGTAACTCTGTAATTTTCGTTAAATACAATTCGGTTGCCCTCACCTGTGTTCTCGTTCACTACACTAGGACGAAACAGCCATCCAATGCTTTCATGTTTCTAATGATGATCTAACATTGATCGAATGATGATTTTACGAAAATGTGTAATTGAATCTAGTATTCTTTCTTAAGAAACCTTTTTGAGATTCTCAATTTTCTTTTCCCACTGTTTTTTTTTCATAGCTTAGTGATGATAGTTATTATGGTGATCAAGGTCTTTATTTTATATCAGCTAGTCGATCAGTTGATAGTGCAACTGTTCCAATGCCACGTAAAGGTCCAATTTATCAAATTGCTTTTCAGCCAACAACTTATTCATCTTCGATAATGAAAAAGAATAAAAATAAAAAAATTGAAGAATATTTTGTTGTTTGTTATGGATGTAAGTAAGTGTTTTTGTTGAAAACGGTTACTGCTGCGTTGATTGTATTTAACGATTATTTATTTAAGTATTCTGCCCTTCTTGAGGTGGATATAGGCTGTCTGTTATAGATCTTTAAATGACTCTCTCTCTTGAGTTCTTGTTCCCAAGTAACATTTTTGATCTTGATATAAAATTCGGATTCCCCGCACTATTTAGTCTTTGGTGCGCCTGTGTTTACTTTCGCCTCGTATATTCCAAGTTAAAGTATGTCTTGTGATCCAGTTTGATAGTTTGTGTACAGTGTATCCCACACACACCTTCCTTGTTCATCATTAGCTCTTCGCAAACACATGAATGTTCTCATCTCTTCCAGAGCTTCCCCATCAAGTGTGACTTGTTTGATGTTTGCTGTATTGTATATCAGTATCTTGCTCTTTCACTTGCGAATGTGGTTCTTCTTTATAAATCTTTCTTAACAGAGCGTAGGATTTCTTTTCAGTTGGTTAACTGTCTAGTCTTGCTGCTATGCTGTTCTTGATTTGTCTGATAACATTGCTTTAGCATGGCCAACAGCAGCTGGTGGTGTGAATCTATATCAACCCTTCTCTTTGTCATTACCTCTTTCACAACCCAGCTTAACATCATCATCACGTACCTTGTCTGCAGACAGAGTCATAATTCTATTTTAGTCAGTCGTTTAGCTTAATATTTCTGACCTGATCAAGTATACACCCTACTAACACTATTAACATTACACCAACAACCAGCTTCCTGGTGTTTCACCATCCGCTAGTTGCTCTGTATATGTCCAACCTTTAGTCCAGACGTAGTAATCAACCTCTACTATATTTGTATTTCAACAGATGCAGTTTATATACAAATATATAAGATCGCATCATATCATAAAATTAATAAATAAGGTTTAAATATGAACAAGCCAAAAGGTGGCTGAGATTAGAGAGGCTGTAAATAATAGATGGACATTATGGGGTTGTTCTGAAGATTGTTAAGTTTTATTTGTAACCATGAATCGATCAATGTTAGACCACCATTAGAAACCTGGAATCACTGGACGGCCGTTTCGTCCTGGTGTGGGACTCATCAGCGGTGCGCACCCACGACTACTGCACCTCGCAGGATTCAGACCAGAGACAGGGTATGAGGTTGCGCAACTCCGTGAATTTGATCAAGTTAGACATTAACACCGTTAGATACCGGCTCAGTGGTCTAACGGTTAGGGCGTTCGCGCACAATACCGAAGGTCCTGGGTTCGAATCCTGCGGGGTGCAGGAGTCGTGGATGCGCACTGCTGATGAGTCCAATACCAGGACGAAACGGCCGTCCAGTGCTTCCAGGTTTCTAAAGATGGACATTAGTTAACGCATTCACCAAAAGCTTATGATAATTGAAATATAGATATATACATAGTATTTTAATTATTCAGCAATTTAAGTAACAAAATTATTTGCACAACCAATTATTCTAACCTCAACAATATTCATCTTGTTCATACCATGTACATTTTATGTGAAATAACTCAAAATTCATTTCATTCATTGTTTTCATTCTTTTGTTGTTTTGACATTTAGTTATTTCAAACTTTTCATTGATTTATTTTGTTTCTCTGTTCTTGTTGTTGGTTTTAATGATGACTATTATTATTATTATTATTATTGTTACTATTTATATTCTGAAAATTAGTACTAAGTTTATTTTTCATGTGTTTATTTCTTTTATGATATATGATTTGTTTTAATCTGTGAATCAATATACATTTGTTCCAGATGATGGATGTTGTGCATTTATATTTGGTCATGAATTTGATCAAGTTGATTTCATTTAATTGAATCTTGATCAATTGTTTAAATCATAACATCCATGTTCAGCGCATCATTTGAAATCGACAAAAAAATTATCAAAAGTTATACATTGATGAAGATAACCCATTTAATGAATAAATAATCACAGATTTTAATCTCAATACAATAATTTAAAATAAAAATTTATTACACTTGTTAAGAAACTGATTTAAAATGATTTTCATTGAGTTTATATTCATACTGTTTTATATTTGGAACCTCAGTGAAATTTTTTCTAATTAAATCTGAACTTCATTATTTGAATATCATCAATATACAAAACTGTTCAATTTTATGAGGCTTCAACAAAGTACACATCGTGTTCGTAATTTTTATTATGATATCAATCTATAAATAATACACCAGTGTGTATTCTAAGTCTTTCAATATTCAATGTGATCACTTCAACTAATTTATAGATTATATATATATATATATATATATATATATATATATATATATATATATATATATATATATATATGATATCATCAATAATCTTATCAAATGATGATTAGTAAAACTGTTTCTAATTTATTCTTGTTTTGTTCTATTCTATTCTCATCTCTTTTAGTTACACCAGCATCTGTGACAATATTCAATTTAAATTGTGAACCAGTTCATGATTTCGGTACTGGTCCATGGAATGAAATTCATTTTAATCCTCATGGGAATAATATCCTTTTTTCTGTTTGTTTGATTTACTAATTAATTCAATGTGTATATGTCATTATAGATAATTTTATTTGTATCTAATGATAAGTAAATGAATTTGACAATCGGTAAGTGTTATGTTTTTCACTTGGTACTTTTGAAGCTATTACGAGTTCACCTTAGTCGATAAACGTGAACGAGACTATTAACCAGCGTCCAGGTAGGATACCTTGAATACCAAACTGCAAAACAGAAGACTTGATAGGCGTAGAAAGTATATTCTACAAACACCCAGCAATCACAATACAATCAAGCACACATCTCTCGTCCTTGGGACAGTTACGAAAATAGCACAATAAAATACACATCAGCCAATCACAGCCATGGATTCGCCTGGTGGGAAATGAAATCTCAAGGTCAACTGGCCAGCCCATGCTCGCAAACGTGAAATCCAAAATAAGGCATTTATCAAGCGAGTTCTGTGGATCTAACATCCTCAACAGTGAGGTTGCACAAAACCTTAGATTGATCAAAGTTGGACATTAACACCGTTAGATGCCGGTTCAATAGTCTAGAGGTGAAGCGTTCCCATGCGAGAGTGAAATCCTTGGGTTCGATTCCGGAGAGAGGGGGTCGTGTGTGCGCACTGCTGACGAGTCCCTCACTATAACGAAACGGTCGTCCAATGCTTCCAGATTTCTAATGATTGATACACAATTTCAATGAAAATTTAATTTGTTTTGCATACAAATGATCATTATTTTTACAATACCGCATAGGAAGGAATCAATATAAAAGCAAGCTCATTAAAATTCAGTTTCAGTTTCGCCTGTTACCCCCAATGGAGCATAGGCCGCCCACCAGTTTTCTCCAACCAACTCTGTCCTGGGCTTCCCTTTCCAGTTCTGTCCAATGTTTGTTCATTCCCCTCATATCTTTCTCTATTTCTCGGCGTAGTGTGTTCCTTGGCCTTCCTCTTTTCCTTTTGCCCTGAGGGTTCCATGTGAGGGCTTGTCTAGTGACGCAGTTGGGTGCTTTTCGTAGTGTATGTCCTATCCACTTCCACCGCTTCTTCCTGATTTCCTCCTCCATTGGAATCTGACTTGTTCTCTCCCACAGTTCGTTGTTGCTGATGGTGTCTGGCCAACGAATACGAAGTATTTTGCGTAGACAGCTGTTAATAAACACTTGTATCTTCTGAATGATGGCTTTCGTAGTTCTCCATGTTTCCGCTCCATACAGTAGAACTGTCTTGACATTTGTATTGAAAATCCTGATTTTGGTTTTGTTTGAAAGTTGTTTGGAGTTCCAGATATTTTTCAACTGTAGAAATGCAGCCCTTGCTTTGCCAATCCGCGCCCTCACATCTGCGTCCGATCCACCTTTCTCGTCGATGATGCTGCCAAGATATGTGAAGGTGTTAACGTCCTCCAAGGCATCTCCATCAAGCGTGATTCGGTTGGTGCATGTTGTGTTGCATCGGAGAATTTTGCTTTTTCCTTTATGTATGTTGAGACCTACTGCTGCAGAGGCTGCTGCTACACTCGTCGTCTTCTCTTGCATTTGTTGTTGAGTGTGCGATAGAAGAGCCAGATCATCTGCGAAGTCCAGATCGTCCAGCTGCGTCCTAACTGTCCAGTTGATACCGTGATTCCCTCCAGATGTTGACGTCTTCATAATCCAGTCGATGACCAGGAGAAAGAGAAAGGGTGAGAGTAAGCAACCTTGCCTGACACCGGTCTTCACCTCAAAAGAGTCTGTCAGCTGACCTCCGTGTACGATTTTGCAGTTGAATCCATCATAAGAATTCCGTATGATGTTGACAATTTTCTCAGGCACGCCGTAGTGTCGAAGAAGCCTCCACAGTGTTTTCCTATCCACGCTATCGAATGCTTTCTCGTAGTCGATGAAGTTGATGTAGAGTGGTGAGTTCCATTCAATTGATTGTTCCACAATGATCCGTAATGTAGCAATTTGGTCAGTACACGATCGATCCTTACGAAATCCAGCCTGTTGATCTCGAAGTTGGGCGTCTACGAAGTCCTTCATTCTGTTTAACAATACTCTGTTGAAGACTTTGCCTGGTATTGAAAGAAGAGTGATGCCTCTGTAGTTCTCACACTTGCTGAGGTCGCCTTTCTTTGGTATTTTGATCAGGTATCCTTCTTTCCAATCTGATGGTACTTGTTCCTCATCCCAAATCTTCTTGAAGAGAATGTGAAATATTTTCGCAGTTGCTTCCACATCTGCTTTCATTGCCTCTGCGGGAATGTTGTCTGGTCCTGCTGCTTTGCCGCTCTTGATTTGTCTGATGGCTATACTGATCTCCTCAATCGTAGGTGCGCCAATATTAATTGGGAGGTCCGTGGATGCTGCTTCGATGTTGGGTGGGTTCAGTGGAGCTGGTCGATTCAATAGTTCCTTAAAGTGCTCCACCCACCTATTTCGCTGTTCGTCAGTGTTGCTGATTATTTTCCCTTCCTTGCTTTTCACTGGTCGTTCTGG